AGAGCAATAACATTTCAACCTAACTTAGAAAAAGCTGGGAACGATCAAGAACGGGTGTGAAATCTCTGAGTGGGAGTGTGGAGCTCATGGGAAGTGTTTGTTTGGTGTGTGTCAGTGGCCTCAGCTGGAGACATCGACATTGGAAGAGGTCTGCGACATCTGGAAGAACATCCTTCCATGATGTAAACAGCATTGTCTCCACGACTGCTTCATGTAAACATGCACAATCTTTAAAACTAACCTAGTTTAAATGCAAAAAAAAATATATATATATATATTGAATACATTTGGGTTAAAATGCTCAACTGGTGGAAATCTGGTCTGATCACCCAGCCTCATCTAAAGTGTAAATAAAAACACTGCTATTTAAGTCTATCCATGATGAGAAATTCAGAAACTGGGGATGTTAGTGAGTTTTTTTCTTTAAAGCCAATCCCTGCTGAAGAGATCCACGCAATAAAGGGGATCTGGCGCCCTCTGCTGTTAATATTTACTTATTGAAGTAAAGTACAGTGAAAAAACAGTGGCCTTGTAAGAAATATAGATACTGAACAGCAGTTATTTTAACTTCTTGTTTTTCCCTTGCATATATGTCCTCCTTTTTTCCATTTTAGTTGGACTGCTCCTGATAATCTTTTTTGTCCTTTTTCCTCCTCTGACATGAAATTTAATATATGGCCATCTTAGGCCCAAAAGTGGTCAAATATTTTATGTTTCCAACAGGAGAGCTGCTCATATGATTTTACACCAGGTTTAGTTGATTCCCTTTGTTAGTGAAGGTCTTGATGTGTATCCTACAGAAGATAAATAGACAGAAGAAAAAAATAGAAGAAAAAAAAAATACAAAGAACTTACCAAAAGTTATATACCAAGTTTTCTCTCATAATTGATATTCAGCTGGCGACATCCCCAGGGTGTTATATTCAAAAGGTTTCATTGCTCTTGTCAGAGTTTATTCAGAGTACAGGATCTAGATCTAGAATGTAAAGGAAAAAACAAACAAAAAAAACTTTATCCTTCTCACTTTGTGATGTTTGAATAAAAAGTTTTGGGAGGAGCTATCAGGGCCTGCTGCAAGCATACCCAGTTGAGCTCATAAACCTAATTGACCAGAGAACCTGTGACATCCAAGCTACCCCTCCTTCCACCCCCAAATCACACTTGGACAGCTTGCTTAGTATGTTTGTAGCCACACACTAAGCAGGTCCAGATAATAAATTTGTGAAATTTCTTAAAACGCTGATTAAAATCAATCCTCAAACTTGAGAGATCAAAAAAAAAAAAAAATTGGTTATGAATTGCAAAATGGAACAGTAGCTCTTACAAATTACTCCACAAATAAACCGGCCACTGTATTAGGTACACCTGTCCAACTGTTTGTTAATACAAATCCACATGGAAGCAACTCAATGCATGTAGAGATGGTCGGGACGATGTGCTGCAGTTTAACCCGAGCATCAGAATGAGGAATAAAGGTGATTTAAGTGACTTTGAATGTGGCATGAGTGTTGGTGCCAGACGAGCTGTTCTGAGTTTTTCAGAAACTGATGATCTACTAGGATTTTTACACAGACCCACCATTGCTGTAACATTCGGATGGTGTGGTCAAATTTTGACATCAACAAGATGAAAGAATTAGCCGACAAAAGACCAAACTCTATGAGGAATGTTTCCAGTAGCTTTTTGGATCTATGCCATTAAGGATCAAGGTGTACCTAATAAAGTGGCCAGTGAGTGTATACTCCAGTGCTGATTTGTTTTCCTCAATATAGATGTTTTTTTTTTCTCTTGAATTTAAGATTTGAATGGTTTCACGTATTTGACTATTTGCTAACAATTGCAAGCTTGTCTTGCAACTCAGAGATTTGTGATTTAGTGGTAAACGATGCAGAACTAGCACCTCGACGGATTCTTTTTGGGGTTGTATGTTCTCTTTAGGCATTTCTTTCCTCCAAGAATCCCCCAGGAGCCTAAAAACCTTGCAAGATTGATCAGAGACTCCAAATTGTGTAATGTTTGTGAATACAGCCCTGGAGTGGCTTCAATTTCAACTAACATTGGCACAAAGTGACCCTAAATAGGGTTCATAAGTGGATTGCTGAAGCAATAAATGAAGAAATCAAGACGTTTGAGAGATATTTTCATTTGTATGGACTTCATAAACTTCACAAGGTCATTTTTACTTCAAAAGCTCTGTCACAATTTTTATTTTTCCATAATTCGGTTCATATCATATTTTTGAGAAAAAAATAACAGTGTTTTTTATGTAATTTTGTAGTCTGTGAAAGAAAAAGGAGTATACCGGGTACAAGGTTTGGTTCCCTATCAATTTACTATCCAACAAGCCTTAGTATCATAAAAGAATACAGATGTTTCCTCTTTTAAAATCTATTTGCGCTCAGAGAGATACTCAGAAATGCAGACAACCGATGTGATGCTTAAACCGAAAGACACAAAAGAAAAGTGTCCCACACAAAACGACGACACATTCTTCACCACTCTGATGCCCTTGGGCAGTTCAATCTGTAACTGTAAGCACTTCTTTTTTTGCCTTTACCAAATGGTCACAAAAGTATACCCATAATCCTTTGCTGCACATTTCCATCAGACATTCTATGTGTCAGCCAGTTTGTTCCGGAGTGAGCTTCTGAAGCTCTAGTCTATTTGGTCACAACCAATCAAGAACACCCTGTTTTCATCAGTGAAAGAAAGGGAGGAGCATCAAATGGAAGGGCGGGGCCTCTTCCTTCTTAGTCATTATCTCCAGTAGAGATAGTGTTTCAGTCTTTGATTCCAAGGAAAGTGTTTGTCGTTAAGCTGGCGTCCTGTTCTTCACCACTGCGCTTGAGGTTTGAGTTGCCGGAGACCGGGATTGTTTTGCTAATGCGCTCCAGAGTGTTTGTGGTGCTTGAATATTTGGATTGAACTTTGCCAATTTCCTCTAGAGCACTGGCCAAAGAGTCCAAATCCCCTCGTTCCTGATGCTGGGCCTCCCACAAGCTCAGGATGACAGCAGACGGGCTCATCTGACGTGCAAAATAACCCAGGTTTCTGGAAGGAAAAAAAAAAAATACAATTACTAGAAAGCTTTGATGTTGGCTTGTAAATGTGGAATGGTTGCCAAGGTAGAATTTTTGGTTGCTATGGAGGAGTCAGTGACGCCATACAAAGTTTCTCATGCTAATATGTGTGATATAAAACAACCTCCGTGTCTCTATGGTTTCATTAGCTGAGATAGTGATAGCTAGTTGGTTGCTATGGTAAACAGTCTGGTTTCTAAGCAGTGGTCAGTGACGATGTTCAATTTGTCAATACAAAGTTACATAAACCAACCCTCAAGTATTTATCATTCACCAAAGCTGAAATAGAGTTCAGAAAATTTGGTTGCTAGGGTAAACAGTTTGGTTGCTAGGCTATTTAGTTTATTTGGTTGCTATTTTTGCCCAATCTCTGCTTTTCATTCTTATCAAGCTACTCCACAAGTCTGATTATGCGAGTTATAACCCTCCACTGCAAGAATTCTCATTATGCAGAACTTATCTAATAAACACAAAATGCCTGCAAACTCTTCCAAAATAACAAAACTGGTGAGGTGGTTCATAAAAGTGAGAAAGATATTAAAGATGGCTAGCTAGAGGGAAATTCAACCAATCTTTGGAGCCATTATTAAATCACAGAAAGGAATTCACAGTTCTGCAGCCGTCCGTCTCAAAGGAAGGCACACTTTGTTTTCTGCCAACAACTAAAGGCTTTTTCGTGCTTTAACATGGACTTGAAACCTGGTTGCTCTGAATGTTTACTTTAGTGAGGTGAAAACTGATGGAAAAGGTGAAGGAGTGAACAAAATTGTGCCTGTATTAAAACACAGACCTCTCTGTGATTGCATTACCCTGCAGGAGAGTGACTTCCCCCGATGTGCTACACAAAATCTGGATTTCTAGATTTTTGAATTTGGAGTTGAATCTAAACGAATTACAGAAATATGCAGGTGGTACCAAATGTAATTGCAGACCATTCCTCAATAAAATCCTCAAAAGTAGTCACCACATATGAAAGCGTTGTATTTTTCTTAGACTTTTAAAGGGGTGTTTGGCTTCCAGCAGGGGGCAGTGTTGCAATGCTCCAGCTCATCCAGCATGGCTCTCTGTGCTGTTTAGACAAGCTTGTGCTTCCTAAGAAGGTAATTGCAGAAATCCGCTTAAGAATGAGGAGACATTCTCATTACACACAGCCCGGGGCTCCGACCAGCTAGAAAATTCACCTAAATCCTTCTGTCCGACTCTACCAGCCACATTTCAAAAACAGCTCTCTTTATCCTGGTTTGTGATATTAGGGTATGCCACATCTACATCAAAAATGGTAGGCTCATGAGGTGAATAGGCATTTGACGGTATTGAAACTCAAAAACTCTTCAATGAGCTTGTGTAAGATTTTGGGGTCCCCTTTTGGGGTCGTGGTGCCTATCTCCAGCACACATTGGGTGAGAGGTGGGGGTACACCCTGGACAGGTCGCCAGTCAATCGCAGACCAAGATTTTATTTGAGCTGAAATATTGACTTTTTAGACTAAGCCCTTTTTAGGGATTGCTCTTAGCTAGTTTAGCATAGCTTAGCGTAGATTAGAAAATGGTTAACGACTGGGCGAAGATTTGTGCGACAACGTGCCTCGATCGAAAACCACAGGCACCAACAGGAGCTCACACTTCTGTCCTCGGAAAAAGAGTTTCGGAAGGAGAAAGACCAATGAAAGCTGGCTCTTTTGATGACGTAAGCTTAGTGGTGATCATTCCACACTTTCATATCTTCGCACAGGAAATAGCTCACCACCAATTCCCTCTTTTATCCAAATTTTTGTCAAACAGCTCTCTGCGATCAGCCACCAACAGAACAAACCGTCTTACATACATTATTTTTCTGTCATCTTTGTTTTTTTAACATTTATGCATTTGGCAGATGCTTTTGTCCAAAACAACTTACATTCGAAAGAATAAACACATTTTTTTCTTTCCATGGGATTTGAACCTATGACCTTTGCATTGTTAACGCAATGCTCTAACAACTGAGCCTCAGAAAAGCTGGAAACTATCCCCTGGTGCTTTTTATTTCTTTTTGTTCATATTTTTTTTTACTCTTGTCTTTTGTACTTTTGTGTTTTTATCTTCTGTACTGCTTGTAATTCTTACTGTAAATGAAAATTTCAAATAAAAACAAGGAAAGCTGGAAACTTCCTCTCTGTCTTCTTCTTTCCTGTTATCCCTTGTGTCGCACAGTGCATCTGCAAGCGCCATCTGCAGGCAGGGAGCGTCATTGCAGCAATATTTCCTCAACGCAGAGACGAAGAGCACTCTGCTCAGAATCCATCCGAAAATTTGTGAATCTCAATTCGGATCGGTGTGTAGAGAACTTAATATTGATGTTTTTTACCAAGGATGTAAGCTTTTGTCTAGTGAAGATACGCTTATTTCTACAATAAAAGGTAAGCTCACTGCATTTTCCATATATTCAACAGTACATTAACACCTTTATGCTTTATTCCCAGCGTGATAATCAATGAAATATTGACATAAAATGTGCCAACGCATGTTCATTCGAAGTTTTTAAACCTCAGAATCTGATTCCAAACAATAAAAAGCTAAATTGCAGTTGCTTGCCTTAAAATCTTCAAGCACATTTGATTTAGACCCATTATGAAAAATATCTCAGGCCTGAATGATTGAAGGCTGTTGAAATTATAATAAAAATAGCATTTTGGGGTATACTCTTTGTTGAGCGCTATATATACCACATATAAAGTCTGGAACTTTCTCTGCTTTGTGGGATCTATGAGTTTGACCTCATTACTGCTCCACAGATCATGCCTGTGGCTCTGCCTTTGGTTAATGTGGCCATGTGCTCGAGGAATATGGAGCAAATTAGACTTGTGGGATTCCATATGCCGAGGCGCAGTTCTGTTTGTACTTCAGCGTGTGTGTCAGTGTTCCGTATGTTTCCTTTTGGCTGTATTTGTGTATGGCTGTGTTAGCATTAGTTCCTCACCTGTCTATGTGTAGCTTCTGTGCTAAGAGCTGCCAGTCTTTGCCCTTGGCGTTAGATGTGTCGAAGGTGGCGCAGATTCGCTGGCGGATGGAAAGGGGGATTTTGAATGCTCTGGCGCCCGTCTGGGAGGTGATGGTGCAGTCTGATTGTGTGAAGAATGGCACTGTGTCTTTTTCACTCTGGAAAAAAAATAATATTGCCATTACAGAAAGATTGCAAGTTTAAATGTGAAAATGCCATTGGATATTCAATAAAGGTGCATTCGCTTTTAATCAGCCAATCAGCCAGCGATTCAAAGCATTTAGGCATGTAGACATGGTCAAGACAATCCCAAGCATCTGAATTTAAGTGACTTTGACCGTGGTTGTTGGTGCCAGACGGGCTAGTCTGAGTATTTCAAACACTAGTGGTCTACTGGGATTTTCACGCACAACCATCTGTAGGGTTGGTGTAGAATGGTCAGAAAAAGAGGAAACTACTCCAGTGAGTGGCAGTTCTGCAGCGGTAAATGCTTTGTTGATGCCAGAGGAGAATGGCTAACCTGGTTCAAGCTGATAGAAAGGCAACAGTAGCTCAAATAACCTCTTGCTAAAATCGAGGTGTGCAGAAGAGCATCTCTGAAAGCACAACGCCCTAAAACCTTGAGGTGGATGGGCTATAGCAGCAGAAGACCTTACTCTGGGCCACTCCAGTCAGCTAAGAACAGGAAACTGTGGCTACAAAACTCACCAAAAACTGACATTTAAAAAGATTGGAAAAACGTTTCCTGGTTTGTTGAGTCTCGAATTCTGCTGCAACATTCAAATGGTTGGGTAAGAATTTGGCATGTAGCATGTATACCTCCTGCCTTGTATCAATGGTTCAGGCTGGTGGTGGTGGTGTAATGGTGTGGGGAATATTATCTTGGCACACTCTGGGCCCAGTAGTACCAACTGAGCATTGAGTCAACGCCACAGCCGACCTGAGAATTGTTGCTGACCGTATCCATCCCTTTATGACCACATTGCACCCATCTCCTGATGGCTATTTCAGCTGAATAACGCTCCATGTCAAATGCCAATCATCTCAAACTGGTTTCTTGAACATGGCAATGAGTTCTCAGTCCAATAGAGCACCTTTGAGATGTGGTGGAGAGGTTCACATCATGGATGTGCGGCCGACAAATCTGCAGCAACTGCGTGATGCTATTTTGTCAGTATGGTCCTCTGTGGAATGTTACAGCCCGGTACTAGCAAGGTGTTCCTAATAAAGTGGCCGGTGAGTGTCTATGTACAACATTAAAATAAATTTGCAATATAAGGTAGAAATTGTATTCATGTACCTTATTTTTTAAATAAATGCACTTTTTTATTTAAATTCTTTTCCTTTTTAATGAGCTGAGTGATTTATTTGGGTAAAAAGTACATTGACTCATTGCTACCGTCTGCGGATTACGTTTTTTACTCAATTGTGTCATAAAATGAGCTATTTTCTCATAATAACGACACACCCTTCTTCTAAAAAGACAATTATCTTGTAAAAGTGGCAATTTTCTCATAAAACAACATAATTATCAGGTTTAAACAACAACATCATCATCTCTTTATTAGGATTGTTATGTCTTTGTGCTGTCATGAATATGAAACAGGAAGGGAACTATCATTTATTATTATTATTATTATTACACAATTGAGTGGGAAAAACAATTATGCAGTGAGTCACATTAATTGAACACATTAAACTTAACGCTAACAATCTGTTGTGCATTTGCAGTCCATGAGGTTTCGAACCTCCTTACCTCAGCAACGGTGGTATAGACCTGGAGGATCTGCTCGTGACCTTTGACCTGTCGCACACTGATCTTACAGGAGAGCTGATTGGCTGCGGGACTGTATCTCTCTAGAGAAAAGGCACACTGCAGAGGAGACTGGCTACTGCACCACACCTGAGAGAAGGAGAATTCCTGCAACCCATGGAGGAAACGAGTGAGAGGAGGCGGAATCCTAAAAAGCTTACAGTATGTGCCTCTTCTGCTCTCCTCTCGTCTCTTCCTTATTGTTATTCCTCTGCTCGAGTCACTGAAGCTAATTTACTTAGTGTCATGTCACTGGCGGCTCTGGCAGAACACATGCGGCTATGACAAACCCGCTAGGATATGCTTTGGGTAAAAATGTGCCTGGGGTCCAAATGCTTTAGGAATAAAGGAATGGTGGGATAACAGCATTGAGGAAAAAGAGACTCTTGAGAACGTGTCAGGCAAAAACATATACAAATGCTGAAAAATAGCCCGGCTTGTGGAGGAAATAAAAAGAGATAGAGATGCATGGCTGCTTGCTCATGCTAAACCCGACACAATCATACTAATGTATTCTGCGACAGTTGCAGAGATTTGAAATATGGTTGCAAAGGTTTTCTCTGCAAAGATATGAATAAAAATATAACAGGCCACATGGGATATTGACGTTCCAATGGGATCCGCTAGGTGTGGGTTTGAGTAAATATTCATAAACATTTGTCAAAGTAACTGAAAATCTTTCTAAATAAATTCTGATTTAGAATATTTATCTTCAAAACAAAATTACGTCATCATAAAGCTCATAAAGAAAATCCTTCCTTCTTTCCTTCCTTCCTTCCCTCCCTCCCTCCCTCCTTCCTTCCTTCCTTCCTTCCTTCTTCCCTCCCTTCCTTCCTTCCTTCCTCAAAGGGACACAAAACCATGCTTTTACAAGCTTATATCCTAAATATGAACATTTTTTTTCATATATTAAAGATTTTGTAATA